CATCAGTTTAGGCTACAGCAATGTCACAATTACCATATCAAGATTACCACCAGTTTAGGCTACAGCAATGGCACACTTACCACATCAAAAGTACAATCAGTTTAGGCTACAGCAATGGCACACTTACCACATCAAAAGTACCATCAGTTTAGACTACAGTAATGGCACACTTACCACATGAAAGTACCATCAGTTTAAGCTACAGCAATGGCACTTACCACATCAAAAGTACCATCAGTTTAGGCTACAGCAATGGCACACTTACTACATGAAAGTACCATCAGTTTAGGCTACAGCAATGGCACACTTACCACACCAAAAGTACCATCAGTTTAGGCTACAGCAATGTCACACTTACTACATGAAAGTACCATCAGTTTAGGCTACAGCAATGGCACACTTACCACACCAAAAGTACCATCAGTTTAGACTTCAGTAATGGCACACTTACCACATCAAAAGTACCATCAGTTTATAATACAGTAATGTCACACTTACCACATCAAAATTACCATCAGTTTAGGCTACAGCAATGGTCACACTTACCACATCAAAAGTACCATCAGTTTAGGCTACAGCAATGGCACACTTACCACATGAAAGTACCATCAGTTTAGGCTACAGCAATGGCACACTTACCACATCATAAGTACCATCAGTTTAGGCTACAGCAATGTCACACTTACCACATCAAAAGTACAATCAGTTTAGGCTACAGCAATGACACACTTACCACATCAAAAGTACCATCAGTTTAGACTACAGTAATGGCACACTTACCACATCAGAAGTACCATCAGTACCATCAGTTTAGGCTACAGCAATGGCGCACTTACCACATCAAATGTACCATCAGTTTAGGCTACAGGAATGTCACATCAAAAGTACCCTCAGTTTAGGCTACAGCAATGGCACACTTACCACATTAAAAGTACCCTCAGTTTAAGGCTACAGCAATGGCATACTTACCACATCAAAAGTACCATCAGTTTAGCTACAGCAATGTCACACTTACCACATTATCCAAGACTGGCCTATGTTCTGATAGCCTATCAAATGGAAGGGTTGATGCAAAGTCCATGAAATCAGACAGAAAACATCATACTGGATGTCATTCTAACACATCAGATGGAAAGCACTGACAATAACGAAATAACAAGCTTTTGCCATTTATACACTCCCATATTTTATTTTATTGGAAAAAAAACATAATAAACAAGTAACTGTATGCAAGTCTACATTAGTATCTTATCAACAAATACAAAATCAATGAGCACAAATCATTTTTATTTTAAAATTGTTTCTAAAATTCTGACAAAAAGTGTTTAACAAATGACAATGACAGTCAAAAAAGCTCCGCTGTGCTACAAAATTATTGTGGTAGCCAAGTCAAGCAATGCTATTGAGAACATGCCAACTTAACTTCATCCAATAAAATGTTCACCAAAATTATGTACAGCTCAAATATCAAAGCAATCAGGCTGGTAGTTTTCAAAAAGAATTGAAAATATTAAATATTATCAAAAAAAGTTGTAATATGAAAATATATGAATTAATAATATTGTCATGAAATAAACAAATCTGATAGAGGTCCTTGCAATTACATATCAAAACAATCAGGCTGGTTGTTTTCAAGAAAATGTTGAAAAATATAATTTTCTACCAAAAATATTTTGCTGAAAATAGAAAATTAAT